GAGAGGCTTCACCAGAGACAGAGTGGGGAGCAGAACAGGCAGATCAGGGAAGTACACTGCTGAGGGGAGCAGCGGGCGGGTCAGGAGAGGTCTGCCTGCCATGTGGTCACCTCCGGGGTAGGCGGGTATCGAACTCATGTGGAAGTGGCTTAAGCCACTTCTCAGAGCTGTGCTTTAACCCCCTGCGCCACAAGGGAAGGCCCAGAATCTTTTTTCACCTGTTACTGTTTCTTTACCAAAAACAGTTACTTATAGCCTTCTGTGAATTCAAGGCAAAGTGTTGTTGTCTAAGGAAGTTTGCTTTGTAAGGCTTATCACTAATTTGGGGCTAAAACTCTTTATCTTCTTAAAGGACTCTGGCCCATATGCCAGAAAGAGTTTTGTGGGAATGGCGGGGGAGGAGAGAGGCATGAGTAGCTTCCTACCTGCCTTACAAAAGGCTATGGCTAGATAATGGAGCACCTCATTTCCTGTCCCACCCTGAAGTGCCAAATCTACCCACTGGTCACTCTGTACTGGGAATAAGTCAAAAAGTAGCTGCCCTCTCTTGCCTGCCTACTGACTATCTCAGAGCAAGGAAAGCAACTTGACTTGTGATAGTGGCATTACTGATCAATTTCTTTGAAAAAATTTTTAAAAATATTTATTTATGCATACAGAGGTATGGGGGTGAGAGGATTCACCAAAGTAGGTAACAGAACGGGCAGATCAACGAAGTACACTGCTGAGGGGAGCAGCGGGGGCCAGGAGGGTGGCAGGAGAGGTCTGCTGCACCATGTGGGTCACCTCCCTGGCTCGGGATCGAACTTGTGCTGCTGTGGCTACAGTAGCTTCATAGTGCTATGCTTTAACCTGTTGAGCCACCAGGGAGGGACACTCAACTTTGTCAGTTTTATCTTCCTTTTGATGAACACTATTGAGTTTGAAGGAAACCTTGTTATATGACGAATTCTCTTGTACTTTCAATGGCTACTTCTCAGTTTACCTCTTAAAATTTCTCTGCTTACAGAGTTTCACGTTGAATAGCTGCTTAAATATCTAGATTTTGAGGCCCTCCCTGGTGGCGCAGTGAGTTAAAGCACAGCACTGAGAATCTAAAAGCCGCTTCCGCATGAGTTTGATTCCCGCCTGCCCCGGAGGTGACCACATGGCGTGGCAGACCTCTCCTGACCCGCCCGCTGCTCCCCTCAGCAGT